ATCACTGCATGAGAAAACCCTTTGTCTTTTAGCCTTTTCCTTTCAATGCCATCAGGGTGAAGGATGTCGGATCTGGGATTTTCAGGAGCTGTAAGGGAGATTCCTTGGATAAGCTCATGAGAAAAGGGAACCATGGTCTGCAAGGCCAAAATTGAGCCACTAGGATGATGGATTCTCTTTCTTGTCTCAGTCTCCTTAGTAAGGGTAAGATGAGAGGAGGAAACACATATCCCAGGATGAATTGCCAATTGCAAGACAGAGCGTCCCTTCCTAAGGCCTGAGGGAACTTTCTTGTAGCCATTAGATCCAGTGTTGTAGAAGTGTTGAATATTGCTCCCAGGTAAATCATGGTCAGAGAAGGGAAAAGATGACTGTTCTTGAAATTGATTTTCCACCCTTGTCTTTGGAGAAATTGAAGACAAATCTGACCATGCCAAGCTAAGGTCTCCTTGCTGTCTGCTGCTATAAGGATGTCGTCCAGGTAATGGTAGATAGCAATACCTTGCTTTCTCAGATCTGCAATCAGGACCACAAGCACCTTTGTGAAAGTTCTGGGGGCTGTACTGAGCCCAAAGGAGAGAGCCCGGAACTGAAAGGGACCTTCCTCCACAGCAAATCTCAGGTACTTCTAATGTTGAGGTGCTATGGGAATGTGAAAGTAGGTGTCCAACAACTCTATTGACATCAACCATTGGCCTGGGAAGACTGCTTTTATTATTGACTGAAGAGATTCCAGAGATTCAAGAAGAGAAGAGATTCAGTTTTTAAGTTTTAGAGAGTGTGACCTTTTATTTTTTTTAAAAGGAATGAGATTCCCTGGAGCAGGACCTGTCTTTTTCCATCTTTGAGAGAAATACAGAATTAGAACTTCAGACTGAAATTCCAAAATATAGATCGGAAAGGAGCGATATAGCTTTAAAAGATCAAATCTTACCTTGAAATGAACTATAACAGCAAAATTCTTCAAATCCATACTTGTATGAAAAAACTGAAAGCTGTTGCAATCAGGAACCAAGGATTGGTACCCAATAATGGAATTGGCGCTTTTGAATGGTGCCTGACGTAACCAGTGACATCATAACAACTAATACACATGCCCATGTGGCAGAATAGCTATTTTAAAACAGATGAACAAACTCAGTTTGTGGCAAAACAAATGAAATGGGCACGCGAAAATGAACCAATATGCTTCACACAGGTGCATTCGCGTAAATGAGAAGCCGTGAACGGACGAGCACGCAGGACTGAAAACCCAGTTCACGCATGCACATTTTTAAAGATAGGATGCTGAGACTAACTCTGCAGAGGGAAAACCCGTGAAACCCTGTGAAAACCCACGGATTGAATGTAATTTCCACTGGACCACCAGGGAATTAATGAAAGAATGATGGAAGTCGAATCTAGTCAAAGGCAGAAACATAAAGTAAGAAAACATACTTGCTTCATTATGTATAATGATCTCCTCATATGCCTGCTATATTCCTATCCCTTGGGTCACTGCAATTTGTTAGACCAGGCTGCAATCTTGCTACTCCTCGGGTCACAGCAAGTTCCAACCCCCAGTCACTAAAGGGGTTTCTTCAGGTCCTTTGTGGAGGGTACTGAAGACTTCCCAAGGGAGAGAGGCTGAACTCCCAAGGGGCCAGAGGGTAACAACCCTCATGTAAACCAAAGAGAATAATGTTAGCCTAAAATAACCCAGTATGTCCTTAGGGATAGGACAGTGTGACCTTTATGGGCAAAGCAACACAGTCCTCTAGGGTAACAGGTATAGAACAACAGTCTCCTATGCAAAAAAGGTTTGGTTTATTTACATTGTGCACAAAAATCATGCAATCAGTTTGTTCAAAACTGCAGCAAAACAGAATGGAAAATCTACAATCAAAATCCTAGCTCAAATTCGAGCACTTACTAAACATAAAGTAATGTCCCTTACTAAACCACTAAACCAGGGTAATAATCCAAACAAATCAACAAAATAAACATTGGTTTCCCCAACCTTTAGCACCTTTTCTGGTGCTGCTCTGCACAGATCTGCTCTCTGTAGGTCAGATTGTATCTCCTACCTTTCTGCTCTGAGACCTGCTAATTAAAGCCTCAGCAGTTGCTAATTGGGCAGGTGAACAGGCTATGGAGGATTCTGGGTCCTAAATACCTTCCTTCTATTACCCTCCCAGATCTGAGACTGTCACAACAGGACCAAAAAGACTGAGGGAGGAAAGGTGGGAGGGGACTTATCTATTTCAATGATGAGTTCCTGTCTAATTAGGGATAGGAGGAGCTTCCCATTGTTGTGCTGCCATGGATATGGCCAGGAAATATATATTAATACCAAAATACAGTAAGAATTTAATTATATATGTATTATATATATGCTTAATATGCTAATCAGATGGTTTAATTAACTTATAATATATTATACATGTATAATATGTTATTGTAATTTGTGATTTTAACTTTATTTTACTATGCTGCCCTATCGGCGTTTAGGCTCACTTAATGCAGGGTGGTATAGTACTCCCTAACAGCGTTAGTTTGGCATATAAGCTAGTTTCATTGTTCAGGTGAAAATTGGAACACTGGGTAGGGGGTTTACCATGCTTTGGAAGTGTTGTGATGTGAGCCTGTAGCATTTCTTGGGTAGTTTCCCTTTCTCAAAGCTATACATCAGTGCCTTATCCACATGAAACTGGAAAGGTACATATACTGTAAATATTAAATATATACCTACCAACCCAGCATTAATGTAGGTGTCTGAGGTGCACAGCCGGTCTTAGTGATATTTGATCTGTGCAGTGGTACAGAGACCACACTGAAAGGAGCCACTGCTGTACTACCTGTCACGGTGCCTGACCGGCACCTAAGTGTGACCGCACCTGATCGGTATGATTACACTATCACAGTGCCCGATCAACACCACAGTGTGGCCTTGCCTGATTGGCACGGTCGTACTAAAGGAGGGAGAGGTTACTCCCCTCACCCTAAGAGCTTCTCCCTCCATGCAGCTTGTGGATCGGTGGCCAGGTCCAGCATTTGGAAGGATGGCTTCCGCTTCAAGACAGCGCTAATTAATAACGCCACCCACAATGACGTGAACGTGTGTGTGGCGTCACATTTTTGCTGTGCATACACGTTCTAGTGTCATGTGACCCAAATCATCCAATAGGAGGATTTACTGGGTTATTTAAACCCAAACCTGCAGTTTCAACACGCAGAATTAAGTAAAACACGTAACAAATACAAACAGTAACAACATATTACCAGGCCTTAGAATGGCCGGAATTAACGTAAGAGAATAAACAGTCACGAGCCGAGGTCAGGAATACAGAAAGGAACAAATACAGAAAGAACAAAGCCAAAGGGTCAGGGATACCAGAAATATGGGAAGTCAAGTCAAGTCAAGTTTAAAAACGAATAATCAGAATCAGGAACGTGCTCTCAGATAAACAGGATGGCGTTATTAATTTTCCCTCATTTAGTGCGACCTTGCAAATCAGGTGCGGCCACACTGAGGTGCCGATCGGCACTGTGATAGTGTGACCATATCGATCAGGTGCCGATCAGGCACCGTGAGACTACCCTGCCAGATCACCAGATCAAGGGTAGTTATACACAGAAAAAACATGTAAAATATGGTGCTAAAAGATATTTTAAAAATTACAAAAAATAATAACGTAAAAGCAGCACCTTATCTAGTGCAATAACTCAAGCAACACTATACCAAACAATAAATAAAAAAAGGTGCACTGTGTCTTTAAGACAATTTATAATTAGTGTGTACAAAAAATATTTAAGTGTGATATATAAAAAATAAAATTATCACAATACAACTAAAGTGCACAACTTTTACCTTCATAGTGCATATACTAAAGTGCACAAATTTTGCAAACACTCAACTGCAATTAAAGTGCAAAATACACAGTAAGTGATTAAAACATGTGCAAACATGTGTAATACCAGTGTCACACTTTACTTACATAATATTCACACCATTTACATGATATATACATAAAAAGAAAAAGCATACAAACATGTAGTGTAATACTGTTATAAAACAACAAAATTATTGGTGACTGTTTCACTCACAAGTGGAGAGCAGATTAGTCTGCTCAGGCAACAAATGCTCCTCTCCACCACCATACAGCATCCAACTGGATGGTGGTCCAATAATGCAGAAGACATAGGCAGCCAGAAGACTTTAATCTTCCAAATTCTTTATTCTCACATAAATATAGCATTAAAAGCATAAATAAATAAATAAAATGGCTCAATGAGAAGTCCCCAAATAACTGTATGCACCTCAGCCCGATAACCGCTTTTCTCTAGATCACAAACTGACAGATGATAAGGCCATTGCGTGGTCTCAAAGTTATAGAATCTGTAAGGTACATTCGCTTTAATGTGTGAAAGCTGAATGCTGTAAAACAAAGGATAACCTGGATCATACAGAATGCAGCTAGGCTACACTACAAGATATCTGGAAATAGTGCTGTACACATAAAGGGGCAGATATAAGGCATCATGGCAATTGGACAAAACAGGATGGAAGGAAAAATACAGGAGGGCATGGAGAGGTACAAAAAAGAAGGACATGGAGAGAGGAACATAAAGGGCAAACATAAATGATCACAAATGTCGTTGGCATGGAGAGGGACATACAAGGAAATGTATGGCTCACATGATGGCACAGTCTGTAAACAGCAGTTTGTTCATGGTTTTTAATAAGCAAAACTGCTGCCATGTACTGAGTTAAATATCTAAAATGCTGGCTGGCCACGGTTTTATGAAATATGTTCAGCTTTCAGTTTTGAAATATATTTTAGTCTCATTATATTACTTGCTTTTTTATGCCAAACACTCTTTTATAAATTATTGAGGTTTTATTTTATTGACTTGTATTTATTCTTAACTGATAATAATAATGATGGTAACAAATTTCTTAACTGATAATAATAATGATGGCCAGAAGCTATCATAATAATGATGATAACAAATTTCTTAACTGATAATAATAATGATGGCCAGAAGCCTTTGCTGTAAAGGTAATAACCTTTACAGCAAAGGCTTCTGGCCATCATTATTATTAGAATTTACAATTTGTACGTATTCAGTATGTACACAGTAAATTCTGAAAAGATGTGGGCTTGAAAATGGAAATGATGTAGTAGAATTACACACACATATATTTGATAGACCGAAGAGACACATAGATTAGAGCTTGACATTCTTTGTAGAAGTAACCTAGTAAATAGACAGCGGAAATCTGGGGTGGGCTGGGTGCCGGAGTAGGGGGAGTGATGTGAGGGAGCTGGAATCACACAGTTCTTTTCCACAGCACACATGCCCTGTAATGAAGCAGATCCTGGCCCTATCATTACTACAAGGAGTGCATGCAAGAAAAGCAGAGTGATTCCAGGAGATCCACTAGATCACAGGGAGAGCATCCACTCCAACTGCACAGGTAGGGATTACTTCCCAAATTATGCACCGACAGGAGCATTAAAGGGTTACTCCAAGCCCTATGACCACTTCAGGGATTTGAAGTAGTCATGGTGCTTGGAGTCTGTGTGTAAAATATTTCAATAAGAAATGTAGCACATACAGAGTAAAGCTTTTTGCTCTGGACAGGCTGGTGGACTTACACCTCTGGCAGAATCACTAGCTTGCCCAGAGCAAGAGTTCCAGGCTGGCTAAATTTAAATCTGTTTTCATTGGGCATATGTTAGCGGCATGCATGGTGTAGTTTGGTTACAGACTACAAATAATGGCACAGCACCCCGTCGAGTGGGAAGTTTTTAAAAGTGGCTGTGTGGTATGGGTGGTATTTGTAAGTGGGTGGAGTCCTTGATCTCCTATTGCCATGGGGGCCCTGTGTGTTTTCAATCTACCCTGAAATGTGCAGTACATTTAGTATATGTATGGGTCTAAAAAATCTAATCTAAAAAAATAAAAATTGAAAGGCATGCAACTATTAAATTCAAAGATTTTAGCCCCTTGAGTCACAACCAAAATTTTAGTCCACATGTTATTTCAATGGGTCTCCAGTGGCTGGTACAGGCCGCTCAAATGTACCCGCTAAGCACTCTAGTCATATTGCCTTTACCAGGGTAGCGTAGAAGACCCCTTCTGACATTGAAAAAGATTCTAATAAGGTTGGTTTTCAGAATGTATTGTAATATTAATTATTTTACGAATTAATCCAGATAAGGTCCACTGTGCCTTTAAATATTGACATGACTTGTTTAAGACAACAACATGTTTTGTTTTTTTTTAAAACACACTTGTGGTAAGTCTTTTGGTTTATCACATTGATTGAAGATTATGCTAACATGGTGTATTTATAATCTTAATTTTATTAATGACAGGAGGCGAGTATTTTGCAAAACTTTCTTTACTATAAAATGCCAGCAGCACAGATCAATCAGAAAACATTTAACCAATCAAAAACAAGAGTCAGTATCATATATATGACAGGACTGCCCCCTACTCTTCTTCTTTCTTTGGTGTGAACGTTACAGTCCCTTTTAACAGAAACAATGAAAACTGTGGAACTTGATAAATCCTTTGGAAATTTCGATTGTGGAAGTATAACTTGAAACTATGAAACTTTTGTAGGAAAGATGCTGCAGGATTTCATACTGAAAAGAAGAAGAAACAAGTGAAAGATACTTGAAATGAACTATAGGCAGAATAAATACAGAGCTGCATGAGCTAATGTATCAGAATGTAAACTGGTATCAGTTAATTAAAGAGTTATTAGAATTATCCAATCCATTGATAACCTGGTACAGTGTATACATGAAACTATATAAAAGACATTGTCCAAGTTATAAAATATCTACTAAGTTATAAGATACAAATAACATGTACAAATTACGCCAAAATATGAGAGGGTGGGGAGAAAGGGAGGGATAATACTCACCTCCTATTATTACTAAAATTAAGATTATAAGTACACTATGATAGCATAATCTACAATTTTACCACATGACAGGAGGCTTCATATTTTGCATTTTCAATACTCATTAAGTAGAGAAAAAGAAGCATGAGAGACCGGACGAAAATAGAAGACCCGAAAAGTTTCCTCCCGTGACCAGTCCGCCGAGCGCATGATATCCGTTGGAGACGCGCCCATCGAAAAAGCGTGTGTTGCCGCCGCGCCCTATATGAAGTGGGCACCGAAACAAGAGTCGATACCCGCTAATGTCAGAAGCCAGCATACCCATCTAGCGAGGGTGGTTGTAGTGACTGGTTTGTGGGGTTTAGTATATGAAACCAGAAGATGTCCCGTTGAAGAGGCTCTTAAGGAGGTCGTAGTTTCCACGTAGCAACATAACGGTTTGACCACGCAAAGCTGGGGTTCCGTAAGAAAAAAATGGGTAAAAAACTGGTAGAGAATTTGTTTTAGTATGTTGTGACACCGCAAAAGATGCTCCCCATCCGGGGTAAAAGACAAGCCCGAACATCCGCAACCCAATGGAAGTAGACTAGGCATAGCAAAATCGTGAGTTTTGCTGATAGTTGCCATAGGGAAAACGATTTGTTGTTCGGTCAAGCCCGCAAAAAAAAGAAATATTTATATTTCAGAGCCGGAGAATGTGATAGACGCATACGTCTCAGCAGTCTGCGAACCAAAAGTTCTTGCCCCACTGGCAGATCGTGGACCGGAACGTGTGCAGCCGAAATTGCCTATTGCGTAACATTGATGGATTAATAAGAACGACCCACCGAGAATAAGTGAGAGAGGAAATTTAAGATCATGGGAACAGGTGCTGTAAAGGGATCTGAGTCCCTCTCCAAGCACCAGCTAGACCATGCGTTCCAGACGGCAGGGTAACTCCATCTAGTTCCGGGTGCCCATAAATCCCAAAGTACGTCCTTAGTGTTCTGCGATAGTCCATCAGTCGACCAAGATCCTCTGAAATTGTCCAAGACACTAGTTCCAGCTGCTCTTGTAGTACAAGAGGGTGAGGCTCTCCTTGAGGTACGGATAAGAGAAGGGGAAATTATATTACATCCTGGTAGTTTTTGGAACACTTGTCTCATAGAAGATTGTGCCTTGTTGAGTGTTATGTACAAGGAGACGTGCTTCTTGCAAAGGTTTAAAAATAATATCAGAGGGTAGTGGATGCATGAAATAGCCTTCCAGCTGAAGTGGTAGAGGTTAACACAGTAAAGGAGTTTAAGCATGCGTGGGATAGGCATAAGGCTATCCTAACTATAAGATAAGGCTAGGGACTAATGAAAGTATTTAGAAAATTGGGCAGACTAGATGGGCCGAATGGTTCTTATTTGCCGTCACATTCTATGTTTCTATGTTTCTGTGAAGGTGGAGTCCACAAAAAGTGAGGGAGCTCTGATTGAGAAGCATCTCATGCTTTAATAAGATTAGATTTTAGTATAATAAAATGATCTCTAGCGACTGCTTTAAGAGCACACCAAACTGTAGTGTGTGTTATGTCCTAAAGTGTGACAGTGAGAGTCAGAAAGGCAGTAGTGACAGCCAAAGGGTAGAACTATCAGACAGATAAAAAAAGGCAAAAACAAAGAAAAGTGGGAAAAAAAATATCCAGTATACGTATATGAAAAAATTGTAACAGCCTGGAAATATGAACCAGGATGGGTGGATCAATACCAGATCTATAATAATAACAAACAAAACATAGTGTAATACAGTCAATTCATGGTTTATATAGGCAAAGGAAAAAGACCGCACATAGTGAGGAATAATTAAAACCAAAAGAATATTTATTAGATTGCACTTACAGACAGGAAGAAATCATGGGCATTTCTCCACAGAAGGTGGAACTTAGCAGCATCGTGGCAGGTCTTGGAATACCAACAGCAGCAAAGTTGATAATAAAAAAAACCAAATAATCTTAAAAAACAAAATCCATAAAAGTCCATATAATGTAGTGTACCCTACAGGATACACTACATTACATGGACTTTTATGGAATTTATGTTTTGTTTGTTATTACTATTATAGATATGGTATTGATCTACCCCTCTGGGTTCATATTTCCAGGTTGTTACGATTTTTTCATATGCGTATACTGGGTGTTTTTTTCCCACTTTTCTTTGTTTTAACTATTCGTTTGGTGCACTTTAGTTTTACGTATTCCATATTGTTGTCTTTAGTGTGTATATTTTTTGGTTTTTTTAGATTAAAAAGGCATACAGTAAAATCAGTAAAACAGTACAGTTAAGATAATATAAAATGTGATAGGATGAGAAACAAATACTCTGACCTGTGCCTCTGCAGGAGCAGCAAAGAAAGAGGAAGAGTAGGGGGCAGTCCTGCCTTATATATGATACTGACTCTTGTTTTTTATTGGTTAAATGTTTTCTGATTGATCTGTGCTGCTGGAGTTTTATAGTAAAGAAAGTAATGCAAAATATGAAGCCTCCTGTCATGTGGTAAAATTAGGTTGCAGCTATGTTTAATATATTCACAGAACCAGAGGGGGTTGTTGATTGGTCTTTTAGGTATATTTCATGTTTAACATACCAATAATGGCTCTAGTCTTAGAAACCTAGTGCTAGATGAATGCTTGCAAAAACATAATATACAGTGATATAATTTTAAATATGTGGGGTAACAGCTTTTTGATCCAAAGAGAGATCTGACTGCGATTCAGGGGTCAAGAAGAATTATTTTCCTAGCTTGTTGCAAAATTGAAAAGCTCTACAAACTGGGTTTTTTCCTTCTTTCGAATCAACAGCAAAAAAAAATATGAGAAAGGCTGAAGTTGATGGACACATGTCTCTTTTCAGCCTATCTAACTATGTAACTTTTTAATAGTACACACTTTTGTACAGTTTTATTTTACAATAAATATTAAAATAGGTGAATGATACTGAAGGTTGTTTTCAGGACTAATTTATTTCAATTTTCCCCAAAACACCTTCCTACTACTAGGTATACAATGTAGCTGCATCTTTAACTGATTGCAAAAGTCCAATTTTCTATCATGTAAAAACACTTATTGTATTAATTTGTTTTCAATTCCATAGAGGTAAGAGCTGTTGCAATTAACTAAATAGCACTGCTTGATTCTTCAATCTTAAACTTGTTTGTATTTTCTCTAGCTTTTG